TAAAAACCCTGAGGAATGCGATGCAAGAACTTTCAAGTCCAGAAAACGAACACAGATTTCACTATTTAGCACTAATATTTATTTGGATTTATTGCCGACCGGGGAAACTGTTGCAATATGCAATAAATCAGATCCTTGCACTGGAGTGGGTCCCTAAGGTAAGTGGATACCAGGTTCGTTCTCTGGGTGGAATGCAGGAGTGTTACCAGTCACAGCAGTGTCAGCATTGTCCCAAGTATTGCAAATATCGACTAGTGCAGGTTGCACCGCTGGCTGTACATAGTACCTGTGCACCACGACCTCTACCGTGCGACGGCCTATTCCACGGCCGAATCCTCTCTCTCTGCCACGTCCCCTTCCACCATTAGAGGCACTCATCTCAGCGACACTGTCGTCGTCTGTGACATCCATGTCACTCTCACTGGCGCTGCTTTCACTCGCCATGTCATCGTCGCGGTCGTCGTCAGAATAAATATTTTCAACAGGATTGTCTGGCTCCACAAACTCATCTTCGCTGGATGAGGCAGCGACAGAGTCGTCAGGTAGGTCTCCAGAAGCGAAAGAGCTTGCTCCGCGTCCATGGCTTGCACAGCAGGGCAGACAGTCGTGAGGCCAGCTCAAGCAAAAGTCGAAATAATCTGCAGGCAATACCAAAAGTCGCAGGGTACGCACTTTTCCCAAAGCGCATTTTTCAAGTCGCGATTTTCGCGATTTTTTGTATTGCATCACACACAAAATTTGTCGGCACCCTCTGCGCGTACATCTTGGCTACCAGTAGGGAAAATCCCAGCTCTCTGCGGTGAACCAGTCCAGCGCTGTGCGCATAGAAGTCATCGACCGCGAGCGGTCGAAATTTGTACGTACAAACGGTAAAGGGTTAAAGGGGAAGTGCATCGATTTTTCGAGTATGGTCCAGAAGAAGGACAATTTGATATCGGTTCGAATGGCATATCTCTCGCTTCCATACTATATGCCAAACTTGCCAAATCGCCAATTGTATACTCACGTTGCCATAGCGACCAGCGCAGTGATGACGTACGAAAGGCTTAGCTCCACCACAGAGAAGGTCGATCACTGCAGAATTTGGTCATTTTATTGGTTTATTGTATTCACGAAGTGAAAGAAGGGCTGTGTTCAATGCTGTTAGTGCAGTGAACTGTTTGTTAGTAGTCCTCTTGGTTGTGTACTGGGGCGTGACACCGACAGGAGAAAGCTGGAGTGCGGAGACGCCAGCAGACAAGCGAAAATAGTGACGAACAAAATGCTGAAATCTTGGTTGGGACAAATCAGACGTTCAGCATTTCCCCCAACCAAAGACCATGCCGTTTGCTCTTTCCACTTCCTGAAGATGAATGTGATGCTTCCTGGCGACTCTCCTATCTCTCGTAACATCTTCTGAAGCAAGGTGAGACGACGGGTGGTGGAGATTGATGTCTCAGGAGAGACGGTGAATTCCAAGCACCTTGTCCTGGAGGAAACCATTTCCTAGGCACAGTCAGCCTAGGGAAATGCATGAGAAGGGCGACAAATAGTTCACGGCACTAACAGCATTGACCACAGCACTTCTTTCACATCGTGAATACAATAAGACAATTGAAAATGACCAATTTCTGCAGTGATCGACCTTCTCTGTGCCGGAGCTAAGCCTTTCATACGTCATCACTGCGCTGGTCGCTATGGCAACGTGCGCATACAATTGGCGATTTGGCAAGTTTGGCTTATCGTATGGAAGCGAGAGATATGCCATTCGAACCGATATCAAAATTTTGTCTTTCTTCTGGACCCTACTCGAAAAATCGATGCACTTCCCCTTTAACTATTTGATAAAGCCAATCTTTAAATCGCTGTTGCACAGGATCTCGGATGGGAAGAAGCGATGAATCGATACATGGCATTGTGAAGAAAAGAAGAACAAATTCACATTGCACGTGAGACTCGGTTAGAAAGACTGAGTTTCTGCATTCATAAGAATGTCACACCCCGGGGATCATGATAGAGAAAACATATGTCGTGAAAATGACTGAAAGAACCAAAGAAGTATTTGATCTTCCAGCCAGCTTAGCCTGGCACTACCATACTAGCAATGCTACCAAGTACCAGCCCTCCATATTTTTCTGTATTTGTACGGAAAATCACTCCTTGTGCGCACTACAGAAATTGAGCAAATGGTATAGAAAATCGGAGAGGATCAATCAGCTGTGTAGAAGCATTGCAAGTGCAAGCTGAGCGATGAATAGTCTTGTACCAAAGTGAGTGCATGCCGTACCACAACAACATGTACATGTAGCACAAAAATAATAATGTCGTGAGTGCAAGTCACACATGTTTAACACTACCAAATGCAGCCACCGACATGCATGTGCGTGTCAAAAAACATTACAGTGCAAGTATGCATGCAATGTACACGGCAGTACGCAAAACACTGCAAGATACGGAAAATCAGAAGTCTGAGTACGCAAAACAGACTCAATTGGTGGGCAGCTCTGTACTGGCCTGTACGGAGGGAGTGAATCTCAATGTGTGCAATGCACGCACTTTGGCCGACAGTGAAAATTATGCAAGTCGTGTTGGTTTGCAGGATGAATGTGAGTCCTTTTAGACAAGCGCCTTAGTGGAGTAGCCCACCGAAAGAAGAGTACTTGACACCGCGAAGTGGAGTCTGCGCATACAACAGTGAGGGGGTAAAATTAGCTATGACTGATTCTGCATGTGTTCTGCATGTGTGTCACATTACACTAGCAGATAGGCACACCTGTTGTTCCAAAAAGATGCTTATGTCAGTAGTAAGTAACGAGCGGGTTCTGGGACAGGGGGCGCCCGGGTCCCAAAAAATGGGGTATTTTTGCGGTGAAAATTATTTTTGGCCCGGTTTTTTTGCGGATAAAAATATGTGCCAGGGGGTGCCCCTACCTCAAAAAAAGGGGGTATTATTGAAAATATGTATTGGGGTGTTATGCTCTACCCTAAACAATAAGGTAATATGGTGTCATGATTTGGAATTCTGCATGTATCATTAATTTTGATTTTTAGGGGTGGGTGTTATGTCCTGCCCTACATCATAATATTGCATTCCGATGTCTAAAATATTACTATTTCTAATGTCAATGTTATCTCACTTTTTCCAATTTTATATTAATCAGAACTCATAGTTTTGCAGTATTTTGACTTGTAATTTCAATTTTTCGGATCATTTTCCGGACATCATCGGCCTTGCGCTTCCGGCTTACTACAGTATCACACGAGACTTCCGGCATCTTCTCAGGATATCCTTCATCGTCAATGTCGATCGTGCCGACACGCACAACAACACGGGTTATCCTCGTCGACATGACTGAGAGGCGGACAGATTTCGTCGTCGCTTGTGTATCCCCGTCTTTTCGAAAGACCTTGCGCTCATTAAGATCCTTGATGACACGGATGAGTTCCTGAGCTTCGATCTGCTCACCATTTTGAAATGTCTCTTCGACAATATCCAGAACACCTGCAGCCTTCATCACGTTGTACATTGATCTGCGCCCGTCGTCCCAGCAGCGCAGCAGTCTGCCTGTATCCCGGCTTGATGGGCTTCCGTAGTCTGCAACACCGTCTACAACTATCTTGGGTAGACGTTGGAGTTTGTCACCGCTCACGAGAACGCGCGACGACACCCTACACAGATACTCCGCAATCTCCATTGGAGTCATGTCTACCCGATCCGGGTGCAGTAAAAGAGGCCTCAGTTCATACGCTGTACAAATATCTGTCAGTAAGCGCACGGTCAATTCATCCTTTCTACAAGAAAATAAATACCACTTCTCAACATATGGTTCGGAGGTTGACCAGGCCGACATCTTTGATCTGATAGAGAGAGAAATTCTGGAGACGGAACTCGATCATCCAATGGACTCAAAAATGAATTGTGAACCAAAAATGAAATTATATCAGGTTTTATAGGTCCCGCCAAGTCCCGTCCCGCCGGGTCCCGCCTCCGGGAAGGTGACGACCTTGGAGAACACGGTGAACACGGTGCGCGCCAAAAACCAAAACGTTGCTCGCGACATGCCGTGTCTTTTTTTGTTCGGGTTTGGAATCTTTCCATTGACATAAGTCAATTAGTTTTCCATCTATGTCCGTAATCGAAAGGTCCATGAGGTGTAGAATTTTTCTAGCTTTCCTCTCGTATAATTCTTTTCGACATACAACAATTCTTTCTCGAACTTTTAGCTGCTGGAATACCGGATTCATCTTGACCTCAGATGCACAGATCAGGCATCCATGCATTGACGTCACAGTACATCATTGCAGCACTGATTTCACTGTGAAGTGTGGAACATGGGTCAATGCGCGATAAAAGGATGAACGTGATTTCAGCGGGAAGTGCGCTAATTGGTCACATGTTTTCAGCGGGAAGTGCGGTAAGTGGTTAATTGTTTCCAGCGGGAGATGAGTGGATTGGTTAATTGAAAAACAACCAGTTATTCCGAATTCAACTATTACGAAAACCCTATAAAAATAGGTCCTCGGTACCTTGTCAAGCCATTGTGTGGTTGTCCGCCACCACCCCTGCTCAGGATGGAACCCCTTCGGAAGAAACCTCGTCAGTCTTTTGATGTAGTGAGATCATCTGATCTGTTGCAATTCTTTAGTTATTGTCCTGATCAAGAGTTTGCAGATGTACTAAAGTTTTTCTCTCATGTTCTACCGTCGCTGGAGCTGCTTCTTGAAGAGAATATTGAGCAATGGGGTCAGTACAAGTGTTCTTTGGTAGTTCAGGTGGTGATGCAGAAGCTGAATCCTGCTACAGGACAAATGGTTTCCAACACATTCTTCTTCCGATCGAGTACAACGCTGGTGCTCAACACCATGGAGCTGAGGGACCTTCTCAGTACGATGATTGCTCAGATCAACGCTCGTCTTGATGATTTCGTTCGTCATGGATCAGGTTGGGTAGTTGAACGGATTTCCTGTTTACACATCGAAATGTCACGCTATTGTGTACTTGGAGGAAGTTCGTACATCCCCTTGCCACCGGAGTTGAAGTCGAAGAAGGCCATTGTTAACGTGCAGAACACTGACAACAAGTGTTTACTGTAAGTATAGCAGTGGGGTTTCAGTGTTGTGTTATGGTGTATGGATTGAACTGTATGTTCTGTCCATGTCTTATGTCATCCGTACTTTAGATGGTCAATACTGGCTGCTAAATTTTCGGCAGACAAGTCTCGTCCATGTCGTCAATCGTCGTACGCAGAACATGCGGATACTGTGGATGTGAGCGGCATCGAGTTTCCAGCAAAACTGGAAGACATACCAGTCATCGAAAGACTGAACGACGGTCTTTACATCAACGTCTTCGGATATGAAGAGAAAGTCATATATCCGTTAAGAATTTCTCAGCAACCGCAGTCCGCCATCAATGTATTGCTCATCCAAGACGAACGCAATGACGTGGAGGTGCAGCACTGGGTGTGGATAAAGTCATTCAGTCGTCTTGTTGCTACTGGAGCACGTCGAGCACATTTCGTCTGCTTCAGATGTCTCTCAACACACGTCACGGAGAAGGCATTGAATAATCATATGATGTACTGCAGTGAACATCCTGAAGCTACGGTGGAGATGCCAAAGGCTGGCGATAGAGTGATGTTCAGGAATGTGAACAAGCAGCTTCAAGCCCCATTTGTAAGTAGAACACTTAATCAAGGTGAACACACTGTGGTATGTTTTTGTTTTTTTGTTTTTCTTCTTTCCTGCACATGTTTCTTGACTCTGATTGTTCACCTTTCTGCTGTTTTACTCGGTGTTGTCTCTGCAGCTATTCCTAATTCTCTATCTGTCTTTTCTGCTGTTTTACTCGGTGTTGGCCCTGCTGCTATTCATACTTCTCTCTCTCTCTCTCTCTCTCTCTCTCAAATGCAGGTGATCTATGCCGATTGTGAGGCCTTCATAGAACCTCTGTCCGCTGTCAAGAAAATCGGTCATTCGACATTCCAAAAGAACAAGCATGTAGCCTGTTCCTGTTCGTACATTGTAGTACGATCTGATGGCGTCGTCACGAACCGTTTCTTCTACCGTGGAGAAGATTCTATGTTCTGTTTTCTGCTGTCACTTGAGCAAGAGGAGGAGATTATCCGTGATGAGCTTCTTGCATGTAATGCTGGTCAAATGATCATTTCAGAAAGTCAGCAACGTGAATTTGAAACGGTAGTCTCCTGTTGGATCTGTGGTGAAGCGTTGGGTAGCGATCGTGTACGTGACCACTGTCACATCACCGGTGCTTACCGTGGTGCAGCACACAACCATTGTAACCTGAACATGCGGATTGAGCCATTCAAGATCAAGATTCCTGTGATCTTTCATAACTTGAAGGGATACGATTCTCATCACATCATATCTGCCATTGGGAGAACGTCCACTGATGAGATTACGTATGTGAACGAGAAAGGACAAGAACGGGTACGTTACATATGCGTGGTGTGTATGTGTGTGTGTGTGTGTGTGCGTGTGCGTGGATCATGATGTTTTTCTAAGAAGGAAGATCATTACTATGTTGGTACTCATATTCACGTTTATATGATTGATATTCATCTTTACAGCTGCACCTTAAAACTGTGTCTCCTCTTTTTCTTTCTTCTTCTCAGACCAAGCGTCTCGGTGCTATCAACGTGATTCCCATCAACAGTGAAAAATATGTCACATTCGGATGGAGACAGTTCCAGTTCATCGACAGCCTGGCATTCTTGAACACCTCCCTAGACCGGTTGGTTTCGGCTACACCACCAGATGCATTCGCCCTTCTATCCGCACGATTTCCAGACGAGGATGAACGCAAACTGTTGACACGAAAGGGTGTCTACCCGTATGAATATATGGGGTCGTACGACCAATTCGAAGAAACGCGTCTACCACCCAAGGATGCATTCCACTCAACGCTAACGAACACGGTGAGTAGTGTGACAGATATAGTAGATCTTTCTCTCTTTCTTTTTTCACCATCTTACTTCGAAGTACTAAAATAAGCCAAAATGTGTTTGAACGCTTCCTGCAGCTTCATACTAAATAATTGATTGTGTGGGCGAACTACTAAAATAAGTTCGTTGATTTGTTTTTCTTTTTGGTGTACATTTTCTATTCCCTAGGGTATCAGTGATGAAGACTATGCCTATGCGCAAACAGTATGGACTGCGTTTGACTGTGAAGATCTAGGAGACTATCACGACCTCTACCTGGAGACTGATGTGCTGCTGTTGGCTGACGTTTTCGAAAACTTCAGAAGAACTGCTCACGCAACCTATGGATTGGATCCCGCTAATTACCTCACCTTACCGGGATTTGCCTGGGATTCGCTGCTGAAAATGACGAAGGTGTCCCTTCATCTCATTTCCGACATTGACATGTTCAACTTCATTGAGCATGGCAAAAGAGGTGGCATAAGCATGGTGTCCGCTAGACACGCCACCGCCAACAACAGATATCTATCGGAATACAATCCAGACGAGCCGTCAAGCTTCATCCAATATTTAGATGCGAACAATCTATATGGATGGGCCATGTCTCAACCCTTGCCCGTGTCGGACTTCTGCTTTGAAGCAGTGACGGATGATCTTCTGGAGACGGTACTCGATCATCCAATGGACTCTTCGACGGGATACATGGTGGAGTGCGATTTAAGGATTCCAGATGGTGTGCATGACATGATGAATGATTATCCGTTGGCTCCTGAGAAGATGAAGGTGACACGAGATATGCTTTCTCCATATCAGACCCACATGGCAGAGAAACTAATGGCAAGTCATGGTCTATCTGGTGGATATGCTTGTATTAATCTTCTAAGGTTTGTGCATATCTATACTGTACTCTTGTAGGTGAGCGGTTTGGAAGCGAAGAAACTGGTGCCAAATCTACTACCGAAAGAGCACTATGTTCTGCACTACAGAAACTTGCAGCAGTATGTGTCCTTGGGTGTGGAGATTACAGATGTGCATCGTGTGCTCTCCTTCACACAACACCCATGGATGAAGCCATACATCGACACTAATACTGACCTGAGAAAGCTATCAACTTCTGATTTCGAGAAAGACTTCTATAAGGTGGGTACTCCACATCATGTGTGTGTGTGTGTATTTAGCGATAGTGTGGGATCTAGTATGTACTGGAAGTGTGAATGACCTGAAGATAACAGTTTTCTTATTGTTGTTTTTCTTGTCTTTTCTTTGTATGCCTGTTTATCGTAGTTGATGAACAATGCTGTATATGGCAAGACCATGGAAAACGTTCGAAACAGAGTAAACATCAAGCTCATTCGTGAACAGGATGAAAAACCACGTCTCCAGAAAAGCATCAACAAACCTTCGTACATCCGCAGTGTAACCTTTGAGAACGATCTGATAGCAATCGAGTTTGCCAGGACAAAGGTGACTCTCAATAAACCCATTTATGTGGGTACAGCCATCCTCGATCTGTCGAAGCACTTGATGTATTCCTTTTACTATGAAGTTCTCCTACCCCGCTATGGACAAAATGTACGTTTGCTCTACACTGATACTGATAGTCTGATCGTACATATTCAAACGGATGATCTGTACACGGATATGTCAAACAACATAACAGCCTATGACACATCCAACTATTCACCATCCCACCACCTGTACAGCACGGTCAACAAGAAGGTGGTAGGGAAGTTCAAGGACGAACTAGGTGGCAAACCCATCAAGGAGTTCATTGGTTTGCGGAGCAAGATGTACGCATACCGCTGTGAAGACAACGACGACAATGGCAAGCGTGCCAAAGGTGTGCAGAGAAGCGTGTTGAAAAACACCATAACCGTCGATGATTATCGAACATGTCTCGTCGAGGAGTCTCAGCTGAAGAGAACAATGAATGTTCTTCGAAGTCGACGACATTGCATTCACGGAGAGGACCTACACAAGATTGCCCTCAGTGGATTCGACAGTAAGTGCTACATTCTGGAGGATGGTATCAACACCCTGGCATTCGGACACAAGGATATTCCAAAGCACTGATGGATTTCCACACATACTAGAGCATATGTCATATCTTCTCATGAAATACATTGTAAATACTATGCGATTCATAATATTCACGTTAATCCAAAGCATGAGCTACATTGTACATATGAAATGCTAATACTTTTTGAGATCATTCACATCCTTCTTTGTTAACCAGGTATGGAATTTTTCGTCTTGATAACCCTTCCATTTGACGAGCCGACTGTTCTTGTTGTATTTCAACACCTTATCGAATCTCAATCCTGTGTGTCTGGCATGTTGTAGCTCAGCTCCATAGAACTGTCCTTGAATGACTTCTCCCATCAGGTCTTGAACACGATAGGTGTGGGGTACAGTGGGTAGGACATCGTTTATCATGAACACTTCCTCTGTCCAGTTGGGCGTGTACCCTTTCTCGAAATGACGTTTAGCCACAGCCAAACGCACATCATCGCCCACTTTGAATTTAGCTGGTGATTGCTTCGAGTGTACGTCTGCATCTTTTGGTTTTCCATCAAGAGAAGCTTTCGTGGGACTCATGCCGATACTGCGATGTTTCGAGCTGTTGTACTTGGCCATAAGCTGAGGAAGGACGTCAAGATACTGTGTCGTAGCTTTCTCCGTGAAATGGCGCCACACTCTGCCTTTCAGTGTTCTATTGAAGCGTTCCACCACCACGGCTTTTCCTTCGTTGTGGGTGCTGTACATGATGATGTTGTGATCCTTGACCCATTGCTTCATTGTTGCATTGTAGAACTCCTTGCCTTCGTCTACCCATAGTTTTTGTGGTACCCTGTTCGATGTTTTCAGGATCAGGTCGAATGCATCCCTGACAGCAGAGCCAGTTTTGGTTTTCAGGGGTACTGCCCAGGCATAGCGACTGTACAGATCGATGACGGTCAGCAGGAATTTGTAGTTCTTGTTGCTTCGGGCAAACCGTTGCATATCCACTAGATCGGCACTCCAGATGTGATCCACAGACCTGCTCTTCACCTTGCGTCTTTTGAAATGCACTCGTCTGGGTTTGTGCAATTCGTTAGCCAGTTGCGTGTGGAATGGTGTGGACTGCGACTTCTTCTTCTGTCTTCCATCATGAAGTGCTTTTTGCACTTTCGTATCCCACAAGGCTCCACCACCTCGCAAGGCACCTAAACTGAGAACCAGTTGATCGTTTTCCAGCTTTTCATCCTCATCGAAGACTCTTCGGAAAATTCGAAGTGCTTCATCCAGACCATATTTGGAAAATAGCTTTCCCATCAATATGGCATACCATCCACATACTGCTGTGCTTCTGTCTTGAACGGCTTGGGTGTTGGTGATGATCTTACAGTCTGCATAGGCTTCTTTAAAGAAATCGCACAGTGCAGGTTCAGTGTAATCTTGCTCCATAGTGTATAGACTGCGTCCGAAACTGTCAAAAACCAGGATCACGTTTTGCTCGCGACACACGGTCAACCAATGATGTCCACCTTCCGGTGCATCGTACACCGGTAGAACGTTGTCGGTGTTGACGATACAAAAGTCTCCATTGTTCAAGGGTGGTAAGAGGTCGTAACTTGTACACCCCACGAACCCTCCAACACCATTCAATCTTCCTTTGATGTCGGCACTGCTGAGAGGGTAGTCCATTCTTGATCATAGCCTGAAAATTTTCGCGCGCGTGATCACATTGAACGTCCACTCAGGATATCCTTGATGATACGAGTGATCCTGCTTTTATCCTTCAGAACCTCTTGAATGAATGATGCATCGTCCACCATCACCTTTTGTGCTCTGATCATGAAATGCTCGGGATGGATCAATTTTGCTTCAGTTGTTCTACCATACGTAGAAGTCATATCGTTGAGATCTTGAAACTTGAGCTGCGATCCTGGTACAGCTAGCACTAGGGTGGCTAGTTCATGAGTCTTTCGTTCTGATCGAAGGAATCCATCGACATGTTTGTGGATTCCCACCGCACCCGCTATGGTTGCAAACGGGTACCTGGACATGTAGATGCGATTCGTCTCGTTGACCAGAGTAGTGTAGTCGTTCATCGTCTGCGTCTTCAGGGCATCCGCAGCCGCTTCCACCCGACTCCTGAACCTCAGTCGATCTTCATCGTAGAGTTGCAGCAGTTGTGATCGGCTTGTGAAATAGTTGCTCTTCAAAAAGGTTGCCGGTATATTTGTATGTCGGAGGAAACTGTCCAGGATTTGTAGGATCCATCGGTCAAATTCGTGGTCTTGTAATAGATTGAAAGGCACTGATGTTAAAGGTGCCTTTCTCTTCTTCCTGACATCTGCAACGGAATCGCGAACTTGATCGGTAGTGGAATCATAGTTGAGTATGTTGGATGCAATCACATTTCTCACAGACGGGTAACTGATGTGATCGGGATTGTTTTTGAAGTGGGTGTCATATAGACGCTTTACTCGCGGATCAGCTTGCAGTTCCAACAGGGTGGAGGTGCTCAAACTGTGATCTGGCACTTGGGAAAGAACTTTCTTGACGCTTTTCAAGTAGGTATTGTATTTATTACCTCCTTTTTGCCGCATGAGTGGTGGTATACCGAGAACTTCCCACGAATTTACTCTCTTCTTGAGGATGTGTTGAGGATGTTTCGACATAAACTGCAAGGTTTGCAACCTTTTACGCTTGGGTATCGAGAAGGATCCCTTTCTGGACCCCACCCTCTGTATACTGCTCGGTAGCCCATTTGAGAATTTCACCGTAAGATGCTCCATTCTTATTCATTATTGGAATTTTTTTCAATGTTTCGGCTAACTTTTCGGCTAACTTTTCGGCTAACTTTTCGGCTAACTTTTCGGCTAAACACGCACATCAACGAGGTTTTTATTCAAAAGTCACCTTTAATGCAGTGTCTTCGCAATACGTGTAGTACTGATTAGAAGAGCAATCAATGGTTAGGATAGGTCTGCGACACACCGCCAATAACTTCTCATACAATCTAAAGATAATGGATGACTTCGTGCACAGACCACCAAACAGAGTATTGAGATAACGCTTGATATTGCTTTTATCAGTGAAGCGAAATAGATACATAAAGTTTGCATTGATCTTCATGTCCTTAATGTTATCAAAGCTCTGAGAGAGAAAGAACACGTTCAACTTATGATGATGACTGTACATGGTGAAGAACTTGTAGAGACACTCTCTTTGGCTGCCGTGCTTCAAACCCATCACTCTGATGTCATCAATGATCACATAGGTGTTAGGCTGGAGATCCATGTCTTCGATACACTCGGGCATGGTGCTGTAATGCTTGAAGGATTTGAGGCTTGGGAGACGATACTGATCGGCCGGCGTGTTGGAGATGACAACTATACGCTCAGGTTGCACACGTTTCAGGAGCTTGATGAGAAAGTAGGATTTACCCATGTTGCTCTGTCCCAGAAACAATACGTTTTGACCCCAGGATTTCAGAGCAGGAATGATTTCCGTGAACCAATCCTTAGACTCGAACTGAAGACCAGGAATGTGCAGCCCGTGTCGAGCAGTGGCCGTGGTCGGAACATCGTCGTTCCTTACGGGACTAGTCTTTTTCTTCCTCCCGATTTCCTGTCCAAGGAGCGAGATAAAGTCCATGATCAGATGTTGTAGGATGGACCGATGTGAGCGGAACTCATAGAAGACGGTCCTGCACTGTTAATGTTCTGTCGAATTTTTTGAGCAAATGGAGTTTCAGGACGGGTTAGGGATCTACGAGGTGCAGACAGGAACGATGAAGCTTCGTCGAGGGCACGATGTCCTAGTTTTTTGAACAAGGCCCTTCCTTGTTTCTTTATTCCTCGTGCCCTGCGGCCTTTGGAGCGAACTTGACGAGCTGGTTTCTTGGTTTTTCGAGATGCTCGTTGACGAATCTTCTTCGGTGCATGCCGACGACGACGACTTTTAGTGCGCTTCATGGCACCTGCTGAGCTTCCCTTCCTTACTCCTCTGCCGAATATTTTATCCATTACGTTGTCACCCAGTGATGCCATGGTACCCATGGCCAAGGGAGCAGCCAGGTTCGTCAGGAGTGGTATGGCCTTGGCGGCTAATCCTGGTGGAATGGCTAGACCTCCTCGGTGCATGGCAGGGTTGTAAGCTGTTTTCATTTGCGCTTCCACAATGTCTCCGGACTCTCCTCTCCCCAAAAGCATGGGAAGAAGTGTCATTCCTGCCATGGCAGCCAGGGGTCCAAGTCCACCGCGTTGCATTGCATCTTGTTTTGTCGTGGGTTCCGCCATCTGCTTTTCCATCTCATCCGGTCCAGCACCGATTAGGTTTTTCCAGAAGCTCTTTTTCCAGAAGAATCCACCGTGTTGTCGACTCGATGTT